CCATTATGGGTTTCACCAATAATTTCTGGGCCAATGCCTCTTATCATTGTAGTAGAATTGTCGACTTTGAAATTTTCCTTATTATGACGAATCTAAATAATTGAACAAATGCTAAGACTATTGCAATCTCGTCAGAGTCTAGTCCAATAAAAATGCAGTGTTCGCGAAAAAATCCATTCCATCATTTATTCATATGATCTTCAAATTTCATAAGAAAACATCATTCTTTTACAGTATTTCGCATGGTTTTCATAAATTATGAGTAATCCAAATAGCGACGCCTGTATTCTCAACTTTTTTTCTCCTCTGTGTCCCGATAAATTGTCAGAAACATACGTCATCATTTAATCAATAGATTCGTGATCCTAGTAATTACTTATGATGTTTCAAACAAAAATTTGTCATTTTCAACTTTTTAATATATTTTAATTTGTAATATTTTCTCTTACATCATGATGAATTTAATAATTAAATTCATATTAGTACTCCTAATAATTAAAATATCTTGATGATTTTTATCTTATTCCGACTCAATTATTTCCTTAGACTGTATTTTTATTTGCCCATAAAGATTTATTTGCTGACGTGCATGTAACTCCCACTCAACTCACACAGATCGTCTGCAGCTAATACTGAATCCGTTAAGCTCACTCTGTTTAATCTACGTGGTACAGCATTTTGGATGAATATCAGGTATTTATTGAATAATATTATAATTAACGAGAATGGTCTTGTAAATTCAAAAAATCAAGTTTATGAAACTTGATTTCCATCAAATATTAGATTATATGGAGTAAAAAAAAACATGGATTTGTATTATATGACTTTTGAAGTCATGTAGAGATGGAAAACATTGATAAAATGATAATTTGTGATTTTTAAGAAAAAAAAGCGTTTCGGACGAATCACTCTATGCCAGGATGTACTGAATCGATTGGCACAAAATTTTATACACGAATGTAGGCCAACCATGCAAAATAGTAGCCAGAATCTCAGATGTTTAGTCCATGTTTAACGCTCATTATAGAGCCCACATTGGATTTTAATTTACAAAACTAGAAAAACGGTGATATCTTGAAAACTTTGTATGGGCGGCTATGCATATTTTGATGGATCTTGATAAAAGATACCATGACGAATATTTTGAAAAAAAAAAAGTCAATCGGACCAGTAGTTTTGGAGATAATGAGCATTACAGTTTTTCACAAAAAGTTTTTGTTTTCTTACAACGATTTTTTCATAAAAATGAAAAATGCCAATTATTATTCGGTTGCCCATGGTTTCATAGCAATATTATGATTTGATTCGACAGATATTGTCGCAAGGAAGATTTTGGCATCAAAAAAATTGAATTCCGTCATGTAGTTTTTGAGATATTGAGCAAAAAAATTTTTGAGAAATTGCTGTATCTCCAAAACTACTGGGCCGATTGAGCTGAAACTGCGCCCAGAAATGCTCCAAAGTAATACCAACTATGTGACAAAATTTCAGATTTTTAGCTTCAACTTTTGTCCTTTATTTGTCGTTATTTATAAAAATTTTCGAAAAAATCGACCCACACTTTCGGACACACGTACATACATGGTCCTCAAACTTCGTATTTTTACGTTTCAGACCATTCTACATCATTTCCAAGCAAAATTAGCGAATCGAAAAATCGACCGATTACAAAGCTTCCATTCGGAAGCAAAAATATAAATGGGGCAAAATGGGTCTGTTTGCTATTTCCCAAATTGACTCTCCCCCCCTCTCCATCATTAAGAAAATAATGGGGCAAAATGGGTTTGTTTGTCATCCCCCGCGTTGACACCCCCCTACCTCCGTTCGCACTCATTAAGAGAAGAATGGGGCAAAATGGGTTTGTTTATCGTTTTCCGACTTGACATCCGTCCCTTCGCTCATAAGAAAGAAAATACAAATGGGGCAAAATGGGTCTGTTTGCTATTTGCCAAATTCACTTCCCGCCCGCGCCCCCTCTCCCTCATTAAGAAAATAATGGGGCAAAATGGGTTTGTTTGTCATCTCCCGAGTTGACACCCCCCCTCCCTTCCGAAATAAAGCCCACAATAATGGATTTCAAAATTCAACAGAAGGAGCAGAATGGGTTCTTGAGCCGTTTCCCAAATTAACTCCCCCCCCCTACTCCCCCGACCCCCTCTCGCTCATCAGGGAAAATACAACAAATGGGGCAAAATGGTTTTGTAAGCCATTTCCCAAATTCACGTTTCCCCCCTCATGCTGATTAGGAAAAATGGGGTGGAATGGGTTTGTTTGTCGTTTCCCGACTCGACATTCCCCCCGCCGCCCTCTCGCTCATTAAGAAAAAAAATAACAAATGGGGCAAAATGGGTCTGTGAGCCAGTTCGCAGATTGACCTCCCCCCCACGCTCATGAGGAAAACAGTGGGGCAAAATGAGTTTGATTGTCATTTCCCGAGTTGACACTCCCCCTCCCCTCGCACTCATTAACAAAGAAACAACAAATGGAGCAAAATGGGCCTGTTACCTATTTCCCAAATTGACCCCCCCCTGCCCCTGATTATGAAAACCGTGGGGCAAAATGGGTTTGTTTATCATTTTTTGAGTTGACACCCCCCCACCCCGCTCGCACTCATTAAGAGAATAATGGGGCAAAATGGGTTTGTTTGTCATTTCCCAAATTAACTTCCCCCCTCGACCCCTCTCGCTTATTAAGAAAATAATTGGGTGAAATTGGTATGTTTGTCGTTTCCCGACTTGACATCCGTCCCCTCGGTCAAAAGAAAAAAATACAAATGGGGCAAAATGGGTTTGTTTGTCGTTTCCCGACTTGACATCCGTCCCCTCGCTCATAAGAAAAGAAAACACAAATGGGGCAAAATGGGTCTGTTTGCTATTTGCCAAATTGACTTCCCCCTCTCCCCCTCACGCTCATTAGGAAAACAGTGGGGCAAAATGGGTTTGTTTGTCATTTCCCAAGTTCACACCACCCTCCTCCCCCCCATGAAACCCACAATAATGGATTTCAAAATTAAACAGATTATTTATATATTTTAATATAATAAATTTATATATTATTAAATTATTTAGCAATTTCCCGTGTTGACACCCCTCCCCCCCTCTCGCTCAAAAAAAAAAACAACAAATGGGGCAAATTGGGCCTGTTAGCTATTTCCCAAATTGCCCCCCCCCCGCCCCTGCCCCTGATTATGGAAACCGTGGGGCGGAATGGGTTTGTTTATCATTTCCCGAGTTCCCCCCCCCCCCTTCGCCCGAATTAAACCAAAAATAATCGATTTCAAAATTCAACAGAAGGGGCAGAATGGGTTCGTGAGCAATTTCCCGAATTGACTCCCCCCCTGCCGCTCCCTCTCGCTCATTGAGAAAATTATGGGGCAAAACGGGTTTGTTTATCGTTTTCCGACTTGCTCATTCAGAAAATAAATAACAAATGGGGCGAAATGGGTCTGTGAGCTATTTCCCGCTTGACTCACTCCCCCCCGCCCCCCACAATAATGTATTGCGAAATTCGCCAAATGGGGCAAAATGGATTGGTGCTAATATTGCAAATCAACCCCCCTGCCCCCCCAAACCTATCTAATATTCATAAGTGAAATAGAATAAAAAATATGTCTGCGACTGCTGACAGTTTCCCGCCGACTCGATAATTTAACACTGGCGCCATCTCGCGGCATTCTCCCATCTGAACTTCTTTACCACACAGCACACCATCAATAATTTCTCCTAATTATACAAAATAACCTATTAATGGGTATTAATTGGGACTAATTGTTTGTCTATCAGCATTTAAATAATTTTTTGATTATATTCCAATCATTTTTGGCCCGTTTTTTGCCTTAAAATGACATCCATGCACATCCATACTACATCCATGCTACAACATGGATGTACCATGGAACCTCAATCGCCAGGGTAGGATACTCATCACGGCTTGTTCAGCCCTGCGATTCCCCCCACATAGGCACTTTCCCGTACTCTACGCCCTTATCGACACTCTCATACACTCCCTGTTTTACTCACAGGTATGTCCTCGGCGTCTTGCCGCTCCCTGCCTTACTCACAGGTACGGCCGCAAAATTAGTTCACGCGCCACCGCTACGAAATTTTGTGGCTGAAGCTTCTTCATAAGCGCTGGCAATCTCCCCTATAACTTTTTCTGCCTTAACTCGTCGGAGGCTGAAATTTTCGTATGGCACCGTCAAGCGGTTCAGTACAACTGCTGAAATCTAGGAAAATACTCTCTCCATGTATTTGGCTCCAAAGTATCAAAAAAACCGGATCGGGTGATCAAAGTTCCTTATAAATATTGTTTTGTACCAGGATGTAAAAATGTAACAGTGAAAATTATATAAGAACGACTTTCGATACTTTGACACAGATTTAAACCCATAAAATCTATCAACATAGTAACGTATACCGTTGGTAAATTTCCCGAGCACGCCTTTTGAAAATCATTTTGAGCACAAACTTCATTTGCTAGTGTTAATATATTTTCTTTATCCACTTTTAATAATCTTTTCAAACATAACCCCCTCGATTTGTTTTGGTTGAATACCAAAGCAGTTCTACGACTAACGTTCACACCACACGTGAAGCATACGATTTCATTCATTCCAAAGTTTATTTATAATACCTATTTCATACTTGTTTGTTAATAAATATTAGTTTCATTATAATCTGTGGTGATTACTTTATCCTGGGTAAACCTACAAAGAAGCTAAATTGATGACCCCGACGTGATCTCAACAGATTACATTTCTACACGAGGTTAACCCCATCGAGCACGAGTCACTGCATCGACAGAGTCATGCCGCTCACCCACACGCCATCCGGTAATCAGGGTAATTTGACACTACAACTAGATGAACAGCAACAACAAGAAGCATTACTATAGCAGCAGTAACAAAAATCGTTGGCGCAGCAACAGCAACAACAATTGTTATCACAGCAATCACTGGGGTACACTGAGGCTCAGATCATGGCTGTCACGCAGTTCAAACTCCCAGATTTCTGGTCCAATGATCTCGAGCTATGGTTCATCCACATCGAAGCCCTGTTCTCCACAAGAAACATCAGAAGTGACGCAACGATATACGGAGCCGTGGTTGCTGCCCTAGGTTCTGATGTCCTGAAGGAGATGTCCGACATCCTCAGAGCACCACCGCCTGCAGATAAGTACCAAAATCTTAAGGCCATGCTCCTCAAGCGTTTCACCGACTCAGTTGATCGCCAGCTATACAAACTCTTGACAGAAATGCAGCTAGGCATGAAGAAACCAAGTCAACTCCTCAAAGAGATGGGAACTCTTGCTGGGATGAAAGCTAGTGAAGAGCTTCTTCGCAGCAGGTGGCTGGCCCTATTACCTGTCATGGTGGCCAATATTCTCAAGACTGTCGCAAACAATTCCACTCTCGATCAGCTTGCTGAGGCAGCCGACAGCGTCATGGAGAATCACACCAGTTCCCAGGTCCTGTCAACAAGCTTCCAGTCCATGGCTCTCAACAATCAGCCCATGGCACCCAGTGTTCAGCAGTCCATGCCTTTCAACACACAGGCCTTCGCATCCTCCACCCAGCCCATGCTCGCTCAGGGTCAGGTCATGGCAGCCAGTCACACTCCCTATCAGAGACAGGCCAGCAACATCACGGTCGAACAGAGGTTGAGTGAGCTTGAGAGGACGGTAGCAAATCTAGCAGCATCAATCAGCAGCCTGACTGCTAAATTAGCAGGTGGAAGACCACGATCTCGATCACGATCCCGAACTCCAGAACCACCAGACCACTGCTTCTATCATCAGAGATTCGGTGCCAGGGCCGTCAAGTGCCTCCAGCCTTGTGCGTGGAAACCATCCAACCAGGGAAACTAACTGAGCTGTCGTCAGTCCAGACGATTGGCGGCAGCGCTCAAGTCATTCCGTCCATCAAAGAGGAGCGTCTTCACGTTTACGATAGGTCTTCACACACCAGATTCCTCGTCGACTCTGGCTCCGTCGTATCAGTGCTACCACGAGCCTTAGTCAAACAAAAACTACAACCATCAGACTTCAAACTCTTTGCTGCCAACTCTACCAGTATTGCAACTTACGGACTTCAGCCGATTACACTCAACCTTGGTCTTCGTGAAGCATTTTTCTGGCCTTTCATCGTTGCGGATGTACAGTCTGCAATCATAGGGACTGATTTTATTGTTCACTTTGGGTTGATGATAGACATAAAAAAGTATCGCCTTATCGATCCTCTCACATCCCTATCACCAACTGGAGAACTTGTTGAAACCTCAGATTTCGGCATCTCAACAATGGATCAGCACTCATTCTCCAACTCCGTTCATGAGGGTAAGTACTCCGACATCACCAAACCAGCTGTCTCTGCAGCCTCTCACAACCCGGCAGGTGTGGCACACTACATCGTCACCACAGGACCTCCGGTTGTCGATCGATTTCGCAAACTAGCTGGTGAGAAACTCAAAGTTGCAAGGGACGACATCAACATGCTGCTAGAGCTTGGTGTTATACGACCGTCTAGTAGTCAATGGGCTAGTCCCATCCACATGGTGGAAAAAAAGCTCGGAGGCTGGCGCACCACCGGTGATTTCCGGCGACTCAACGCACAGACAGTCCCGGATCGCTACCCAGTACCTTATCCTGAGGATATTTTCCAGCACCTGCACGGTAAGAAAATATTCTCGACCATCGATCTGGTACGCGCCTACCACCAAATCGAATTTCTGGGAATGCCTCCTGGACTCCGCAACGCATCTCGGACATTCCAACGGCACATGGACAACATCTTGAGAGGTCTGGACTTCGTTGGCTGTTACATAGATGACCTCATTGTGGCTTCTGAAACCCATGAGGAGCATCTCCAGCACCTCCAGCAAGTCTTCTCCATTTTACGTCAGCACAAGCTATCGCTGAACACCAGCAAGTGGGAGTTTGGAAAAGAGGAAGTGACCTACCTGGGCTACACGATCAACAAGGATGGATACAAAGCTCCTAGCTCACGTGTGGAGGCAATCATCTCCTTCCCCAGGCCAGAGACTGTCACTGACCTTCGCCGATTTCTTGGAATGGTCAATTACTACCGCAAGAGCATTCCTCACGCTGCTGAGTCCCAAGCATCGCTTAATGGCTTCATCACTCACTCCAAAAAAACGACAAATCTAAGATCGAGTGGACCCCTGACACCGAAGAAGCTTTGGAGGCCTGCAAGCAGAGTCTAGCTGATGCTACCCGTACAGCCTTTCTATCACCGTCTGCACCCCTTCTGCTGACTACTGATGCCTCTGACTGTACTATTGGCGCATCACTGGAGCAGTTTGAGGACAACACCTGCAAGCCAGTCGGGTTCTTCTCAAAGAAACTGAGCCCTCAAAAAAGAAAATGGAGCACATACGACCGAGAGCTACTAGCGATTTTCTCCGCTGTTGAATTCTTTCGTCATGTCCTTGAGGGATGCCACTTCGTCATCAGGACTGACCACAAACCCTTGGTCTACGCCTTTTCGCAAAAAGCAGAGAAAGCTTCTTCTCGTCAACTCAAATTTCTTGGCTACATCTCGCAGTTTACCACTGAGATTGTGCATTTGAAGGGATAAGAGAATGTTGTCGCAGATGCACTCTCCAGGATTAACGCTATCAACATGCCCTCCATCCTGAGCCCTGAGAGAATCCACCAAGAGCAGGAGGAATACGAAGAGCTCCAGCAACTCATCGACAATACCAACAATTCTCTGAAACTACAGAAATTATCGATCGATGCCACTCACTCGATCTACTGTGACATTTCTTCAGGCGTTGTAAGACCCTTCATCCCTAAAAATCTACGACGAGAAACCTTTGACACTATGCATGGGTTGTCTCATCCTAGTGGACGAGTCACCGTTCGTACCCTCAAGCAGAAATACATCTGGCCCGGTCTTAAGAGAGACGCACTGGAGTGGTCTCGCAACTGCATCGCCTGTTAACGCTAAAAAATTCAGCGTCACAATCGTCTGACACCCAAACACATCGACGTGCCAGACACTCGCTTCAACCATATCCATCTTGATCTCATCGAGCTTCTAGTGGTCAACCAGCTCAGATACTGTCTGACAATTATCGACAGATTCTCCAGGTGGCCCGCAGCGATCCCCTTGAAGGATATGACAACTGACTTCGTCTGTACCGCATTCTACACCTACTGGATTGCTAAATTTGGCACACCTCTCACCATCACGACTGATCAAGGCTCTCAGTTCGAGTCTGCACTCTTCAAGGCCCTGACTCAGCTGATTGATGCTAACCGCATCAGAACCACGCCGTGTCATCCGCAGTCTAACGGACTGGTTAAGAGGCGGCACAGAACTCTCAAAGCAGCTCTGATGTGCAACTCACAAGCTCCATGGCCCGACGTTCTTCCGACAGTTCTCCTCGGTCTCCGCACGTGCTACAAAGAAGACTTGAACGCTTCTCCTGCTGACCTAGTCTTTGGGACAGGTTTACGCGTTCCAGGCGAGTTTTTTGTCTCGGAGGACATGCCAACAGATCCTCAGATCTTCGCCGAAAAGTTTCGCGAGCACATCAGAAGCCTGAGACCTACGTCAACTGCTCATCTCATCAAAGAGCGCATGTACATCCTGAAATACCTGTACTCCTGCTCTCATGTATTCCTCCGCATCGATGTAGTCAAACGACCCCTGGAACCACCTTACTCTGGACCTCATGAGGTGATCGAGCGCATACACGATCAGACCTTCAAAATCAAGGTCGATGGTGTTGAGAAGGTCGTATCGGTGGAGAGACTCAAGCCAGCCTATGTGGCTAAGGCGGATCCTGCAAATCATCTATAACCTCAGCAGGCTGAGGTACCTGACAACATCGAACCTTCGTTGCCGTCCACTAGCATGGATCGACCTCTTCGTACTTATCCCAGGAGAGACAAGACTGTTTCGTTCCCTTCGAATCCTCCGAAGGTTACTGGGGGGGAATGGTTGTGGCGACTCCGTCCACCGCAGTCCCCACTTCGTCCACAGCGCAGCGCGCCGATCACCCTCAAGGCGCAACCCGTCGCCCGCGGAAGCAAGCCGTGATACCAAAGCAGTTCTACGACTAACGCTCACACCACACGTGAACCATATGATTTCATTCATTTCAAAGTTTATTTATAATACCTATTTCATACTGTTTATTAATAAATATTAGTTTCATTATAATCTGTGGTGATTACTTTATCCTGGGGAAACCTACAAAGAAGCTAAAGTTCCTAGACTACGGCGACTCTATTCATTTAAAAATATTCGAGAAGTAGACAAGTTCGAGCGGCAGCTCGATATCCACCTTGACATTTTCCTAAAAACAGTGGAATATCTACGATTTCATTTTCTGAAATCTCAAAAAAATTATTTAAACTCAATTATGGTTCGATTCGTATTGATTGGAAAACAATAAACCTTAAGGTACTCTGGTGTTTACTGTTTGTTATTCGAAGGCTAGCTTCTGTTTATCAGGCAAATCATGTTGATAAACATAATTGTCAACATTGTCAAACTTTTTTTTTTATGCAGAGGATGCAAAGCAGATTTCACTCTACGTGGTGCATCCTGGATTATGCTGAGAAAGTCTAAATTAAGAATAGTGATATTAAATTCTATGTTTATCTATTTTTTCGTCGGGTGGGTGACAAAATGTCCGACGGCCAAAATCTCCGGCGGTCAAAACCTCCGGAATTAGGTATAGTCGGTGGAAAGTGACTGGTAGCGCCGCCAGTGACAAAAAAAGTGTTATGTTGTGAGGCAAAGAGGATTGACTAAAGTAGAGGCTCAGTTCTGTAGGGGCAGCTGACCCCAAGCCGAAATAGTAAGTGCCCCATGGGAGGGATGGCGCCACGGTCGATTTAGGATTCTGGGCGAGCTGGATGTGCCGGTAACTCGTCAGTAGCTGTCTCACTGTCACAGGGACAAGTTCAAGGAGGGATCTTTGTTCTCCTTGTGCTTAATGTTCTTTTCATGTTTTTCAGCGATTATAAATAATAAATAAGGTCGAAATACATAATTTAAAATTGAATAATCATTAAGGCCGTAGACTTCATTTACGAAATCGGCTATTATCAGAAGTCGGCTCCAAATAGGTGATTGAAGTGAGCGACAAGTAGGGTTGGGAATAAATTCAAACATTGATGTTGGAATTTGTCATAATTCATTGATTGAAGGGTTATTGTGTTGACGNTATAAATAATAAATAAGGTCGAAATACATAATTTAAAATTGAATAATCATTAAGGCCGTAGACTTCATTTACGAAATCGGCTATTATCAGAAGTCGGCTCCAAATAGGTGATTGAAGTGAGCGACAAGTAGGGTTGGGAATAAATTCAAACATTGATGTTGGAATTTGTCATAATTCATTGATTGAAGGGTTATTGTGTTGACGGAATGAGGAAAAGCGTTTGAACGTGAATTGGGTGTTTTGAAGAGGGTCAATGGGAGATCTCGGTGATTTCTTAGGGTTAACTTACCAGGAGAGCTATCGGGTTCTTTCAAACGTGGATTAATGGAGGCCATGGTCGAGGGGAGATCTTGGGGGTCAGTTCCCAGGACAGCCCGCAGGGTGTTTTAAGGGCGGGGGGGGATCAATAGAGGGTATGGACGAGGGGAGATCTCGGGAGGTTTTTGGGGGGTATCTCTATAGTCGAGCTCTCGGGGTATTTCTAAGGGAAAAGGAGAGAGAGAGAGGGGGGGTGGTTAATGGAGGGTATGGTCAAGGGGAGATCGTGGAGGTTCTTTGGGGATAACTCGGCAGCGCAGTTCTCCNTTGAACGTGAATTGGGTGTTTTGAAGAGGGTCAATGGGAGATCTCGGTGATTTCTTAGGGTTAACTTACCAGGAGAGCTATCGGGTTCTTTCAAACGTGGATTAATGGAGGCCATGGTCGAGGGGAGATCTTGGGGGTCAGTTCCCAGGACAGCCCGCAGGGTGTTTTAAGGGCGGGGGGGGATCAATAGAGGGTATGGACGAGGGGAGATCTCGGGAGGTTTTTGGGGGGTATCTCTATAGTCGAGCTCTCGGGGTATTTCTAAGGGAAAAGGAGAGAGAGAGAGGGGGGGTGGTTAATGGAGGGTATGGTCAAGGGGAGATCGTGGAGGTTCTTTGGGGATAACTCGGCAGCGCAGTTCTCCGGATCTTTAGAGGGGGCGGGGGCGGGAGAGGGGGGG